GCCCCGTTTCCGGGGCCACGCGGGGGCGGGTCGCCTGGGAGCCACGAGCTGCGGAGGCAGGACGGGCGGCCCGACCCAACCCGTCCTGTTTGCCGGGGAGCGCTGCGGTTGTTCCCTGTGGTGGCCCGGGACTGAACGAACCTTATGCCGGTTCAGCCCGTGTCTGAGGTACCACCGAAGCGCCCGGCTGGCGCGGACTCCCGGCTTGGCTCCCTCCGGCTTTGAACTTTTTGCTCAACTTGGCTGCCCGGCGCCGGCGGGGGCGGGCGCTGTGGCTGCGCGTCGGCCTGGCCACGCCCTGCGCTCCTGGAGGTGGACCCCGCGCAGCCCCGGCCGCCCGCTTGTCCCGACCCAGGCCCACGCCGCCTTGTCCCTGGAGAGGAGACTGACGGTGTGGACAGGCCCAGGGGGCACGCAGTCGGAACTGGAGAGCAAAGCCGTGGGGGCGAGTCCCCCCACCTAGATGCAAAGGCGCCCGGGAGATGCGCTCTAGCGGAGGCAAATGTGGACGTGTCGTGTGTGTGTGTGTGTGCGTGTGTGTGTGTGTGTGTGTGCGCGCGCGCGCGCGCAGAGACAGGGAGGAGAAAGTTGCGGGGGCCGACTTGGGGACTGGACCAGGTATGGACAACGTTAGAAAACACCAAACCCCTACAGAAGGCAGAGGTGGCGCGGGCCTGGCTGGGAGGGCCCCATACCCACACTTACCCCCACCGTCCGCACACACCTTTCTCCTGGGCACCTCTTCACAAAGTCGAGAAGAGGTAGGTCCGGGAGGAGTGCGGAGGCGATTAGCCAGCCGAGCGGCAGCCTGATCCCGGGCATCCCGCCTCAGTATCTTCTCATAGGAGAACCCTGGCAACCCGGCCCCATTTCCCAACACTTGAGAGCTGGGTAGGGTCCGGGGTTTAGGGCGCAGGCTGGGCAGCGCAGGTCCCGAGCTGGCGACTCCGCGCGCGTCCCAGTGGTGTGCGCCTCCGCCCTGCGCGGTCCCGGGGCAGCCACGGCTGGGTCTCGAGCGTCCCCAGCGCGTTCCGGGAAGGTGACTCAGCGATGCGCTCACGGGTCGAGAAACTCCAGGAAACAAGGAACGAGGGCAGGGAGCAGGGGCCTTATCACCCCATCCTAGCGCCGCAGCCCACGCTGGCCCATCGAGGTCGGGTTCTACACCTCCCGACCCCCCACTCCCGAGGAATGCGGCGCGGGTGGAGGAGGGCAGCGCCACCACAGCAGTGCCGCGGTCACGGGATGCGAGGATGCTGGCGGCGGCGCCGAGAGAGGGCTCCGCGCGGGAGCCGGGGCCCGGATCCAGCCCTTTCCCTTGCCTCCCTGCCCCTCCCACGACGCGGGGGCCGAGTGGTTGAGGTCACAGTTTTGGCGCCTAGAAGACGCAGGTGGGGGAGAGGTCGCAGCCCGGGGTGGAGGGGCTGAAACCGGCCAGGGCGGCCTCCCCTCCTCCGCCCCTCGAAGGCACTCACTGCCCTGCGCAGCTTAAATGGCCAGGGTTCTCCCAAAGATTCATGCTCACCCCAGCTCCCTGGTGCAAAGCTTCTTTGCCGGAGGATCTCAACAACTATGACATTTTCATCAGACCTGAAAACCCTTGGGTTTGATCAGGGGAAACTGAGGCACGGGGAAGGGAAGACTGCCCATCGGGAAGAGTCCGTGGTGAGAAAGCTCACCGGGCGGGCGCACCGTCCTGGCTTCCTCCTGGCGCCCCAGGCTAGAGCCGTTGGAATCCTCCAGGCGGTGCGGGAGGGGAGGGGAGACGGGTGCAGCCTGCGTGGTCCTTTATCCCGCAGCCTCGGGGGCGGGGGGCGGGGGGGAGCCCAGTGGGAGGGAGACGGCGAAAGGCATAGCCCTCTGGCCCGAGTTCACTCTGCACAATGGCTCCTCTGTCCTCATGGCCGCCTCCTCCCTGCCCCCTCACCTCCACTGTCTCTGCTCTGCCACCCTCATTCCTGCCATTCAACACCCCCCCTTCCCAGGCCCAGAGAGCCCTCCAGCGCATTTCTCCTTCCTAAAGACCTTTATCTGCTTTCCAGAAGTTTACTCCCCATCAGCACCCCTGGCCCAAGAGACAGGATTGGGCGAGATGCCTTCTCCCCTTGTGACAATTGGGGGAACTGAAACCCAGAGAGGTGAAAGGTCTTGCTGAAGCCTCCGAACCAGTTCCCAACAGACCAGGAGTCCTGACCCTAGCCTGGGAAGTCCCTGTGTCCTGTTGAGTCCTGTGAGGCTCCCTGCTGGGCCTCCCCACATCCCCGGTGTCCCATTGAGCTTGGTCTCTGTTGGCCTAGTGGGTTGCTTGGCACAGAGCTGCCCCAGGAACCCAGCTGCTGAGTTTCCACCAGAAAGAGGAAGCCCCTTGAAGCCCTCATTGTCAGGCCTCATTCCCCAGTAGCCCACCACTGTGCCCGAGGCCTGCCACAGACCTGGCAGTAGACTTGGATCAACCCAGAGCTCGGCTGGCAGGCAATACCTGTCTCACAGGTGAAAGGTACTGTCTATCCCAGCCCCCGATGCCTCCTCGTGGGCAGTCTCTCCAGGGAGACACTCCTGAGAACCCTTTTATTTTGCAAGGAAAGAAAGAAGGCATTCATCGGGCCTGGCCCCAGCTCCCTGGAAACTTGGAGCCAAGGCCGCCAGATGGCAAATTACTTGCTTTTATTAGGAGAAGACTTCTGCCGTCTCACCCTCCCCTGAAGCTACCTTCCCTGGAGACTTCAGCTCCCAAATTGCAGGGCCTGCAGGCCTCCCCTGACCTCAAGTTTTTCCTGTTTTATGGTCCTTTGCTGCCTAGGAAGCGCAAAGGCAGGGGAAGGGAGGTGCTCAGCTCTGCAAACTCTTTGTGAGGGTGTGTTCTAGGACGACCAAGATGTGACTTTCCATTCTGAGTTTCTTCCATGCGGTTTTGAGACTGACCACGCCAGGCATTGTGGTGTGTGCCACCTCAACAGTGACCCAGTTCCCAGAACATGCGCCACCTCTGGGGAGCAGGGGCACAGACTGGTAGCACAGGATTCTTGGCTGCTCACCGAGATCATATGAGAGTGTGTGCTTTACTCAAATTTCTGGTTTTTGCAGAGGTTCAGCTGCTCTGGGCATGTGGTTGGGCTGACCCAACTTGGGTGACCTCCAGCTGGCCTCGTAGGTGTCCTTGCTGAGGCTGGGGACCCAAGTTTCTCAGGGCTTCTGGACTCTGCTGCCCACACCCCCACCTTCGGGTTACAGCTCAGGGTAATTAATTAGCTTCCAGAACTTTCTCAGTGTGGGGGCCAATCCATTTTAGACACACTCTACTCACTCCAGCTGCCTGCCAGCATCTGAAGGCCTTGGAGTTTGCAATTCCTAGTGAATGCCTCTTCTGCAGTCCCACTTGGAAAGATGTGGGTTTCACCTTCCTACAGCCCGTTGCGTCCTCAGCCTCCTGGCTGGAGACTTCTCAGCCAGACTTTCTCAGGACCAGGGTGTCAGTTGTCAGTGACCTGCCTGGAGTGATTTGAGAATCCTCCAGACTTAGGGCCTGTAGTCTTAAATTTCACCTGGAGAGATTTGTTCTTTAGGTCTGTATTACCTTTTGTGGACATACTCTTCTTCAAGTGCAAACAACTCTAGGACGGACAGCAATAAGTTATTGGGTTATTGGGACCTGTTTAGTTATCTAGTGCTGCTATAACAGAAATATCACAAGTGGATGGCTTTAACAAATAGATTTATTCTCTCACAGTCTAGGGGGCTAGAAGTCTCAATTCAGGGCACCAGCTGCAGGGGAAGACTTTCACTCTCTGTTTGCTCTGGGGAAGCACCTTGTCATCATCTTCCCCTGGTCTAGGAGCTTCTCAGCACAGGGACCCTGGGCTCGAACGATGCGCCCACTGCTGGCTCTTCTTTCATGGTGGTAGGAGGTCCTTTTCTTCTCTGCTTAATTCTCTCTTATATGTCTCAAAAAAGATTGACTCAAGATACAACCTAATCCTGTAGACTGAGTCCTGCCTCATAAACATAACTGTCTCTGATCCTGCCTCATTAACATCATAGAGGTTAGGATTTACAACACATAGGATAATCACACCAGATCACAAGATGGAGGACAACCACACAATACTGGGAATCGTGGCCTAGCCAAGTTGAGACACATTTTTGGAGGACACAATTCAATCCATAACAGGACTTTATTGTTGTTGCTAGTTACTGTCATCTGAGTCAATTCTGACTCATGGTGACCCCACATGTGCAGAGTAGAACTGCTCCATAGGGTTTTCAAGGCTGTGACCTTTTGGAAGCAGATCTCCAGGACTGTGAGTGGGTTTGAACCATCAACTTTTCAGCTAGTAGTCAAGCACTTATCTGTATGCACCACCCAGGGACTCCATTAGGACCTTAGTGTGAATTAATAGATCACTTTTAATGAAAAAAAAAAAAAAGGAATAATGCATGCTTATATGGACAGAGGAGGAAAGGAGTTTCTAGAAGGCAGCCCTACCTCCTCACACCCTTGTCAGGTTGTGATCTGTTGGGAAGAGTTTATGTCTGCACTGGCAGCTAGACTTCATCGGCCCAGCAGCCCACACTGCTCCAGCTCCCTTGACTTTCAGCTCTTACCCTACACCCTGGTTTATGGCATCCTTGGCTTCCTGAGCAGATGGGTTTATGCCCCAGTCCTTGGAAGAACAAAGCTGAGTGGTGTGTTGGATGGTGT